TAGGATAACTCAGTTTATTTTGAATTCTAGAACAACAGGAAAACAGCTGTTTTTAAAAATTATAAACCGAAAACAGGCTGTTTTCCACAAACCCTAATCTGAAATGACTGGCTTTATATGCATATCTTAATAATCTATTTTAAAAAGGAGATCTACATGTTTGATGAGATTTCTATTGGTAATTAGATCTTGGTTTCCAGGATAATGCTAGGAATGAAAGTCAAATTTCGGGCATAAATAGTTATTTCTTAATCTTGTAGCTCTAGAAACCGAACCTTAAGCCTGGAGCTAAATTATTATTATTATTATTATTATTATTTATTTGTCGACGTTACCGTCCGGAAGAATTAGTATTTATACATGTTTTACTTTTTACATTGATTAGTGAAACATTTCATATCACTATGGGTGACGTAGAATCAAGCTTCTAATCTTCAAATCTAGGTTTAGATTAAATTCAGGCTCTCGTTTCAATCTTCTGTGGGCGTGACGTGATACATTTCAGGTCCGTTCTGACAATATTCCATTATAAGGTAATCTTGTAGCTCTCGTTCCTATTTCTCCCGCCACACTTCAAGTTCCAAAATGCCCAATTATGGCTTGATCTCGTACATTAAGCAGTCGAAGTATTTAAACTTCTGAAAAAGAACAAATTTGGAAATGGCTGGATTCGAACCGACGACCTTCGAGTTCCCATACCAAATTTGAGCCAAGCGCCTTACCTATTCGACTAGCAAGGCACTTAACTGCTTAAGATAGATAGACATAAATTAACTGAGTAAAAAAATTTTCTTAGTTTGGAACTATCGATTGCAAACATATGATTAAGGAATAGGTCATTTGCAGGAATAGGTATGTAGTATAAAGGCTGTAATAGTGTTACAAAAATTTAATTTCCTATATCAAATTGATTAATTGCCTCTATTTTTTCTGAAATGGGTTTAAATGTAAAACTTCTAAAATTATTGAAAATTCACAGAAAAATATAGAATAAAATAATATAAAATATACAAAAGAGGTCCCAAAAAATATAAATTGACATATTTTTCCATTCCTCAATTTTGAAATTTTTCACGTTCCAAAAACTCATAAATCATGTAAAAGAAAATATGTTAAAAATCATTATGTTAGGCACACATCGAGCTCGATTTTCTTGCAGCTGTTGTATTTCATGACATTTGCTTTTAGGATAGAAATCAAGCCTTTCACAATGAAGTCATGTGCATTCTTAACATATAAGAATATTTTTTTTATTGATTGAAATATTTCGTTTTCTTTTATACTATCAGAAAGTGGTCCTGAACTGCACATAACTGGTTAGATGGCTATAGGTTGGTTGATTTTATTCAGTTTAACCAGCAGATGGTCAAGTCTGTCAAAGATAAAGTTAGGAAAATAGCAATTTTTCACTCGGGAATGACAAAAGAATGAAACATTCAACGTGAGAATTATTTATCAACTTTTATGTCCTTTATGCAGAGTTGGGAAGAGATAAGGTTTTTTGGCATTTACTAGACCATCGATTACAGGTTGTTTTCATTTCATGATGAGCTTCTTCAGCAGAGATAAGTTTTGTAATGAGACTTTCTAAAGCTAATACTTTGAAAAAGTTGGTATAAATCTTAAAGATAGCAGCTTTGGAGCTTAAAGCTTTGAATTAGAACTCTATTCAAAGGCATACTAGGGTCAGTTTCTAGGGTGTCTTGGAACACCAAACTTTTTAACCTCAAAGTGGATAATAGTGTAGGACATCAATTTTAAATTCATAATTAAGGTATTTCGGCTGGCAGGTGACAACCAAAAGCAGTCTCGTCATCATTAAATTTGGGTCATTATTTGACAAATATGTCCATCTCTGTTTCCATTCAAAAAATCTACTAACGAAAAAAGTTTTTTAATCTCAACAAAATAAAATAATTCTTTTCGTTCAATAAACACAACAGTGAGGAACATGAGGTGGAGTGGGGATAAAAATTGAAAACTTAACATATCTGTCAATTGTAATTTTTTTAACACGTCTCTCTTTTACTAATGTAATTTCATTTTTTTTCTCTATCCTCTGTCTCTCTTCCTCTATGTAACAAAAATGAAGCATAATAAAACTTTTTCCATTTTGCAAGCGAACAATTTGAGCACAAAAAAAAAGTTTTAAAAGCTTTCTATAATAATTTTTCATAGCAAATGCCGTTTTTGAATAAGAGATAAAGTTTTTTTTTTCTGTTCCATTTTTTTCCACTCTCTCAATCTAAATGACTCATATGTGTGCATCAAGTTTGTCGTTGTGAAACTTTTTATTATTCTAATTTAAAATTTCTAAAGAAATGCATTAAAAATTTTGAGAATTAATTTTTTTCATGCCATATGTCCAACATTGAAAGATTTTCAAGAATCTGTAGATGTTACATGAATTGAGGCTGATAAATTATAAAACGAATGAATATGTGTGTTTTAATAAAATAAGTTGCAATCAGTGAAATCAAATAAGATCTTTTAAAAATTGAAATATTTAACAACTTCCTTTTAAAAAATTGATCGTCTGAAGTGGGTTGAGAATGAAAATTATATAAGTGTGTATTTTAGATAGGAGAATTACGTTTGATAATCTTACTACCTTTTCAAGTTATTTATGTTTGCATGTGACATCCTTTGTCTTCTTTAGACAGCATTTCAAATTAAGATTGGTCAAAGCTTGGGTCAACGGTAAAACTAGTTCAAAGAGAGAAGGAAGATTCATTAATCAATAAGCGAAGCCGATTGAGAGTTTTTAAGTAGTTGCGACGATCCTTGTCGATTAATACAAGTTTTTTTTATTGCTATGGAATTGTGATCTTCAAACAACGATCTACAATCTATGATTTAGGAATGATTCACAAACATTCTAGGTATATAGTCTTCCTTTAATAGTTTAACCAATACATCTTACAATTTCTGGTCTCGTGTCTACAGATCATACTTTAAGAACCCCTGATTCAAAAACAGTTAAGCACAGATTTAAAATCCAAAATTATATCAACCATTTTTACGATTCTGAATCAGAATTTAAAAATATAAACATTCAGACCGCCAAAAAAGTTTTTTATTTAAAATTTTCAATAAGGCGAATTTGATTTTTAGTCAAAAATCTGAATAAATTTTCAAAATACACAGAAATGTTCCACAAATGACGTCAGATGGGATTTAATGTTATCCTCTGTAATGTCGACTTTTCCACGTGTCGCAAAAAAAGCCTCGAGTTGAGTACAAATTTCGAATGATGAAGATTTTTTAAAGGAATTATTAAAGCTTTTCATTTGAAATCAAAATAAAAATATTTATTTAAATTATTGAAGTTATTTTCCAAAACATTTCATCCATCGTGCACTAATTTCCATTGAATTTTCAATTCCAATCAGTTAGCGCGAGAAAAATGAACGCATCAGAACGATTTAATCTGGAAATCAAAACAACAATCCTCTCTAGACGCGTTAATTAATTTAAATCGATTATTTATAAACAAAAAAGTTGCAACAATTGAATATTCAGCCTAGTTGCACTCTTATCAAGTCCTTTAAATTTTTGTCCCGTCACAACGCGCATTGTTTTCAACTGCGCACAAGCAGCACCAATCAAAATATTTAACGATTGTTGGCAATGCTTCATGGTTTTGTTTCATTTTCAAAAAATTTCAAAATTTTCCTCGACAATAGAAAATGCTTCAAACAATGGGCTGAGAAAATTCTTAAAATGTTTCTTTTTCCGAAGAAGTTCACATGATGCAATGTTTCAAGGACTCATGCTAGTGATGATTGTTTGATGAAAGCATTATCAACATTTTTCCCTCTTTCATACTTTTTTCCCATCCACAGAAAAAAGAAAAAAACTTTGCGAATTTCATTCTTCTTTTCACATTCTTTATTTTCTTGTTTTGCATTCACATACGAATCAGTTTTATTTTGTCGTCGTAAATAAACGGATGCTCTATCTCGTTATCGTTTTACATATCACCACAAAAAAATATTTGTATTGTAAAAATTAATTCATCTTGTTCTTGTTAATAAAAATATGTTTTATTATCTTTGACATGATGCGAGTGTAATGAAATAATTACAATGAAATCCTTGTGGAATTAAAGTTATTAAAATATTTTTGAAGACGGATTTTTTTTGTTTTTTTTTGGTTGATGAAAAGTGAGAATGTTAAATTTTTTTGTGGTGTGTTAGACATACATGACACCTTAATAAAGAGATTCATTTATCAAGTGGAAAATAAGACTAGACAGGGTTGGTGTTTATTCTTGTGTATTCAGTCATTGATGTTGTGTGAAAATGGTTTTAATTAAAATTGACTGAATTAAAACAATTTGTGAGAATTTTATGGATATTTGAATTAAGTTTTATTTATTGATAGCTGTAAACTAGTTTTGATGACTTAAGTTTACATTAGAATCAATAATATTTTACATCTGATCTTGTCGATCATGAGCTTTCAATCTTATTTTTATTTTAAATGAAAAAGTTCAATAATTATTAAAATTCTTGGTTAAAATTTTAAATTGAAGAAAATTAAAGAAATATTTTTTTTTGCATCAATAAATTTTTATCTGGGGTGATTTTGAAGCAATTATAAACAAAATTAAAGTGATTTTGATATTTTGCTAGCATTTCGACTTCAAACTTTATTAAACTTTGATTGCGTGGTTTAAAAATTATTAGACACAAATTATTATAGAATATTTTGACAACCTTAAATAACAATGAGAAATAATTTTACAAATAGTATGAAAATGTTCATGTTCATTAAATTGATTTTTTAAAACTATAAAATCTGAATGAAAATGATAAAAACTGTAAAAACTATAAAATTCCAATTAATAATCCATGAAAAGATTCTTCAAAAATTGTAAAATTTCACTTTCACACAATCAATGACCGTCAATGACCATGTGCTAATCAAATTAATCTCCAATCAACTTTACAGTCCAACAACCCTGATTTTTTTTAACAAAAAAAAAAAAATAAAACAAGTGAGAAGAAAAATATTGAAAAGTTAATTCAACATAAAAAGTACATAAAAAAAGCAGTGTTTGGATTCAATGCAATGATAATTTATATCTCGCTTGCAGCATAATAATGGAAAAAATGTGAAAGTGTAGCAGAAAAAAAAAGTTTAAATATTGTCACATGATAAAAGGAAATATTTCTCCTCTGTGTAAAAATCTCGTTTGTGCAAAAAGTTTATTTTTTTATTTTTGTTTCACGACGACCGCAAAAATGGATAAAATGTTGTTGTCTAGAATAGTGATATTCGCTGTTATTTTTCAAAGTAAGTGTCGACGAAAGTGCAACAAAAGAGCGGGAAATGTTAAAGTAAACTAGTGGAAAATTGCGAATTTTCAAGTGAATTAAAAACTTTTTCCTTTATATGCTCGCTTTCTCTCATTCCAAAATAGCATTATAGCTTTATTAAATGATGTAAATTTATGAGAAAATGCTCTTAGTATTATAGCTCTTCCAATATATATGTTATTGTGTTATGGGATTTCGATGATATTCTCAAATTATTCTCATCTGGGGAGAAACAAATTTTTAAAAAATATTTTTATGCTCAAAAAACTTTTTTTTCTTTTTTACTTCTTAAAGTCGTTTGGATTTTGATCTTGGAAAGAAAATAAGATTTTTTTGAGCACATCCATAGGTTAAGGTCGCTTTCGCTGATATTGATAAGACTTGTTTATAGGTTTTGTTTGAAATTTGTGAAGAATGCCGGTGATTTTGTTATCAGGAATTGAATTTATTACTTTTCTGTCTGCAATGCAACTAAAATAAATTATTTTAAAAATGATTGCATAATCTTGTTAAGTCTACCTAAATGAGGTACAACCTCTGAAATTATTTCTTTTTGAAAGACTTTAAATAATCTTAAGAAAGTCAAAAAAACTCCTAAGAAGTTATATAATCACTCCCTAATTCCTGGTTTTTTGAGCTTTTCATGTCACCCTATGACTAAGGAATAATTAAAAATTGGCAATCAGCTCTAATAAAAATTCTTGTGCAATCAATTTTCAACTCTACATTTTGTTCTTTTTGAAAATTCTCAGAATCATCTTCATTTTAACCTAAAACTTTTTAGACTCTTGGACAGCTCAATTCTTAACAAAATCTTTAATCCGTTCAAAATTACTCACTTTTTAATAAGTCCAATACGACAAAAAAGAAATCAGCCATGCTTTTTGCATTATTTGCAAGTTCAATATTGAAAGCTTAATAATTATAAGCCATTAAACTCTCTTCAATTGTTGAACTTTTTTTTAAAATGCTAAAGAGTTCATTTATTCCCAATAAAAATATTTCAATGCTAATGAAGCTGAAATCTTTCACAATTTTTTCCTCATAAAAATGCCGCAAATTTCATTCAAGTCTTTGTCATATTTTTAAACATTCATTACACAACCCTCTTTTTGTCTGTTTCTGTCTCTCATTCATTCATTGCGATGCACTTGATTCACTATGAATATATTTAACAATTGTATTTGTGAAATTATTGTGCACATTTTCCATATTGATTTACTGACTTTATTCTACACACACAAAAAAAGCATAAAAAGTGCAGAATTATGTCGAACATGATCATTGAGATACCATGTGTGCTTGCTTCATCTTCCCCTTCTTTAAAGTGAATATGTTCAATATTTTTTTTTTATTTTTTGCTGACGAGACTTAAATCGTTTTACAACAATTGAAATAGAATTGCAAATAGTCAAGTAAATAAATTCAATTGAAAATCCACATTATGGTTGATAATCATGGATGATTTGTGGCAATATAAAATTTATTTCTGTACAATTTAAAAGTGCTTACCACAACCTTAATTATTTAATTTTTTTTTGCATTCGCAACCTTTTATTTACTCATAATTAGTGGCTTAGTAATTTATACATTGACTATTCCAACGAGAAATTAATTGTTGCATTTTCATTTGAAATTTGTTTAATTTGATGGCAGGATTTCAATTTGGCTGAATTGTTAAATGAGTGTTAATTATTTAAAAACAAATTGGAAATGGGGTTTTAAAATTTTAATGAAATTTGTATACCAAAGGCATGAACGAGGCACCCCGCCAGATTTGGTGAAATTACTTCTTGGATGCCAGATTGAAAGCCATTTATATGCCGTGTGCCTTTCGGGGTATTTTTCTTGTACTTCCTAGTAGATTATTTTCGATATAAATGACTTATTTATTCATGTTGGAATGTTTTAAAATTGACTAGTCTTGCAAAATGTTAACTATTGACGACAGACTTTCGGAGCAGCACAAAATAGCTATTAGAACTAAGATGTTCAGAGATGATTTATTTCAAGAAATGAGATTTTAAGATCCTCTCCAACTTTTCATTCAAAAAATTGTAATTTCTGTGTGCTTGTAACTTAGTCAGCTGTAGCTTGTAACTTCAGACCCCTCATGCCTAAATTCTACAACCTGTTTAATCGACAATTTATGAAAACTGTTTGCGTCCAACAATTCAGAATATTCTAGAAAGTTCTAGTATTCAATCAATCAGTTCTTAAATAATAACAAAGTTTTTCTTGAATCTCTTAACATTTTGTCGAGACTTCACTTCATTTCGCATCTTATTTCATGCTTACAAAAAAACATTTTTAAATATGAAGAATAGTATCTCATTTGATACTGCCGTGGGTGATGACTAAAAAATATGTGCATATGATCCATCATTATTTACTTCTTTTTTTTCGGAAAATATATGAATATTTTTTCCTCAATAAATAATTTTTTTTTCACATTTTCCCTCTCACTTATAAAGTGAAAAAAAAATCGTCTGATCGAAAAAAAAAAACTTCAACTTCCGTTTTCATAGTTCACCCATTTATTATCATATTGCCATTGAGAAACTTTTGTTATTGTGCATTTCTGTGTTGGTGGAAAAAAGTCGGAACGACATAATAGGTTTCACATAGATAAAAATTCACACACATATTTTGGTTCACCACATTTCTCGTACAGTTTATTTTATTTTATTCTTTTTTACTCCATATTTCTCTTTTCACTTTTTTCAACGCATTTATTGTGTAATTCTGGGGATCTTAAGGATTACAGTTTGTCTTAGAGAAGGTTATTATTATTACAGGTTGCACAAACAATTCAGGTGATCTGAGATGATTTAGTGACATAGCAGTTGAAGAATTTCTTTCTGATCACTTCCCTGACTTAGGTTTAGTCTAATTTACTGAGGTACTAGACAAGTGGTTCTGAAACTGTGTGCCACGGTACACTTTTGTCTCCTCTTCAACAAACAACATCTCCAAGAGCCGAATTAAAGCTTTAAGCACACTTAAAATATTTTTGAATTAAATTTTTGGTTATTTTAAACCAAAGCACTTCCAGCTCCACAACACTAAATGTTCCATTAAATGCGCTAAAACTATTGGTTCACTATATATTTGTAATTGTAGTTTTTTTTGTTCATCCTTTCTCTCCCTCTTTGTCTCCTGATACGGAGGAACATATTCTTTCATCGTGATATCCACGACATATTTTTACCATATTTTTATGATTTCATCAGTAATCGGACAATTCTACATGAGTGCATTCCATGAAATAAGAGAAACTAGAGAAAAAGGGATTTTGTGTTATATTTCTGCTCTAAAAATGAAAAACATGCAATTGTTGAAATTCTATAAAGTCATATCGTATGGCTTTTATTTTTGGTATATAAAAAACCAGGCACAGAATAAAAAATATCACATGTAGAAGCTGTAATTATCTGTGAATTGTGTGATAGACAGAAGAAAGTGTTGAAATCTTGCCAATGAGACTGTGGAATAATGAAATAGAAATAAAGATCCAGAACGAAGTGAAAAAAAATGCTTTTTTATCGCGATGAAAAAAAATTAATTTTAGATTATAGTAACTGCATTAAAATTTATTATGGACTAGACGATGAAATCATTTTGTATAAAATTTACTGTACAAATGTATGTCGGATGTGAATTTCTGTGAAACAGAATTTTAAATTCATTTTTTGGATTGTCTGGAACTGGAAGCGAATGAAATATTTTTTATGCAAAAATGCTTTTAATTAGGATGAATTTGATGTGTGGGATTATCGCATTGTTGAGCTTTAGAATTTATTAAAAATTCCCATGAGATTTATGGATGTGAATTGAGTTGAGCAGGTCCTCGGACTACATGATAAGTGGTTAAGTAAAAGGTTAGGAAATAAGAACAGTTTTGCATGGAGTGCATCAGACGTATCCAAAACTTTAAAAAAATGTCTTTGATAATTTGTAAAAATCAATTTCCAATCATTTCCTATCTCCTTTAAAAAAAATCCTCAGTTTCCCACAAAGTCATTTATCATTTTTTTAAGCATTAAAAAAGTACCAAAAGTCCTTGTACAAGTTCAAAAGTAACAGCAGTAATCAATAAAATAAATTTATTGAAAACGCTGCTGAAAAAAATTGTTCAGTGCCAATGGAAAATAAGTTATCAGTTCTGTGTTTAAATTAACATGTCTTTAAATGTACGATGTCTGTTTCATAAATTATTTTAGGTTTATTTTCACTAAATTCTGCTTTTTTGAACATAAATTGTCCTCAAAACATGTTAAAATTTTTGTTTTTTGTGGCACAGAAATTTTCTTTTGACAGTTTTCGGAGATCGCTTTGGGGCAAATTGACTTATTGATTCTATAGGATTTTTAATGTTTTTTTGTGCTTTAATATTTATCTAAAATGGATCAATATTTGGAAATTTCAATTTTCATTTAATATGTTAAATTTCGATTAGATTAATAGATTTAAGGAAGCAAATTGTTTAGGCAGTCATAACTTAAACCAGCCACACACCTCACCCTTCTTGCTACATCCCTGGCTCATCATAAAAATCCCATAACATTTCAAAAAGTTCAAATGAAACTTAACCTTCACAATAATTAATTAAATTTCCAGCTATGACAGCCAAAAACTCAATGATATTTAACATACCCGCTCGACCTATCAAAAAGGCATCTCTCGTCTATAATCACATATTAATAGACTAAAGTTAATTATGAGGAATTAATTATTTAACATATTCTTTTTTTTCAACTCCTAATTACAGAAGCTTTAATGTTTCAGCCTGAATTTGCGGATCCTATTGTAAATATTTCAGTAGCTATAGGCAGAGATGCAACATTCACATGCCATGTTAAACATTTAGGTGGTTACAGGGTAAATTTCTTTATGTTAAATATTAAAATTAAATTATCTAAAATTTTATGATTTTGACATTGATTAAATTGGATGTTGAACGTGAACGTGAAGTTCCAACAAAGTTAAAAATTTTTGTACGAATGAGTCGAGTCTCGCTTAATACAATTAAAAATTATGCAATCATAAAATAATAATTTTCAGGTAGGATGGGTGAAAGCAGATACGAAAGCCATCCAAGCAATTCATGATCACGTCATTACACACAATCCACGAGTGAGCGTATCTCATTTGGACGTCAACACATGGAACTTGCACATAAAATCTGTCACTGAGGAGGACAGAGGTAATTTGCTTTATATGAAAATAATTTTCTATTCTCATTTTCCACATAAATGACGATAATATTCATTCATAGGCGGTTACATGTGTCAAATAAATACAGATCCAATGAAAAGTCAGGTGAGTAAAGCCATTCATTCATTCTCATGTCATATTCAACAAGAATGTTCTTCTGCACGGGAAATAAAAAGTTTTTTTTTCTTCTTTTCTTCCCATTCATCTGGTGACAAGTTAATGATAAGGAACAAAACAGAATCGTCTCTGTGGATGGAAAATTTTTCACTTAAGAAAGTTTTCTATTCTATGATGAGGAGTGGGATTATAAATGACAAATTGAGCAATATGACGAAAATTGAATTTATTTTGTTTTTTTCTCTGTTCTTTTATTACCGCACAAATTCACTTTGAGAATTTATGATACTTTTGTTTATGTTTTTTTGTCGTGCTCGTAGTGGATATGAAAGTCACAATAAAATTTGAAAAAACTTTTTCTCAGCTTTTGGGATCATTCTTGTTGTTACAGCATTTTTTCTAAAGTTTTGTTTAAAGCATCAAATATTGTCAGCATCAGAACAATAAAAGCTTTGTATTGTGGACTTTTCTTCTTCTTGTTGTTTTGGTTATTGAACTATCAGATGGGATTAGGGAACTAGGAAAAGATTAAGATACCAGTAAGCTGCTAGTGAAGTACTAGAAGTTGCTACATTATGATTTCACTTTCCTTTGGCCTTTAATAAATTATATTAGACTAGAAGATTCGGTTAAAAACGATCAACTTAAGATTGAAGGAGAATAAATTCTACATACGGAAGGCATAAGTGTAGTCAGGAAGAGTTTAATAATAATGTGTGAAGGGCCCAGCCTTTCAGCTGGAGGCACTGCGATTCAAATTAGAACAGAATCTATTGTACCACACCCTTTAGACCTACAGTTTATAGTGGGATTCGAACCACTTGCAAGCTCTGCACATTGCAAAGACACGAGTACGTCATAAGACCTGATGTACCCTGCAATGTACCTAGTCACAATTCGTGTGCGCAAGATGCCGTAAGGAAGTCATCCAGATGCTAGTATATCCTTGTATACCTAGCAAAGGAGGCAGATTCTGTGCCAAAGACCTCAAATGGATTCAAAACCCCTTCCTTGAGTTTAAAATTTGTTTGATAGAACTTCTGACCTTTCCCCTAATCAACAAAGATCTTAGCTTGATATTACTTCTAATATCAAAGATAGATCAAGCTCATTGTGGATTATGGTTCCTTTGAGTAATTTCTGGCTACACCCTTGAAAAATTCACATTTTTGATTACACACCGAGCGACACTCTTCCCCTAAAAAACTTTTGGAGGCCACTGAAACTTGAACCCTCTAAAACGTGAAATTAACAGGCACTATAACTATTTGTCTATTGATTACCAGCTCAGCATACTATAAATCTGTACATCAGCACCTATTTGCCTCTTTTTTGAAGGTTCCTTCTCTCACAATATAAATTTAGTTCTACAATATAAACAAAAAGTACTAATGCCAATAACAACCTTTAGAACAATGCGCTCTTAACCTACCTCAAAACTCCTTTAAATTTAATACACTAACATTATATTCTTATTCAGATTGGATATCTAGACGTTGTGATTCCACCAGATTTTATACAAGAAGAAACATCAAGTGATTTGATTGTTCCTGAAGGAGGTTCGGTGAGGCTTACTTGCAGGTATGAGAAACATAATTCATATTTCATGTCGCATGCATTATTCTTGCCTTTAAAATGTGTCTTTAATTTGTCGTAAGAATGAGAATCCTCAAAAAAATATATTTAATCACTTTAAACTTTTTTTTCCCATTTGCTCCTTGTCGAGAAACATTTTTTTTCTGTACTTTCTTATATTTTCTTACTTACAACTCTTATTTTCCATCACAAACATATATTCATGAGAGCAACATCTGTTAAATTTCCATTCGAATGGGAAAAACTTTTGACGCGTTTTATTTCGTATTTTCTTACTGTTCTTATTCCTACAACCATTCCTTATTGCCTGCAACTTGAACAAAATAAAAACTGCATATTACAAGCTAGAGTAGTTTTATGTAAAAAATAAATCATAAAATCTGGAAAATATTTATGAAGAGTTTTTTCCTATTTCATAGTTTAATGCTGTTATGAAGCTGCTTGTTAATGATGAGAGAAAAGATGAGTTTTTATTGTTTATAGAGTTTTGTCTGTTCTATCAACAGAACATTTCCTAGATTCAGAGAAAGAGAGAAAAATTATTTAATTCTTGTGTGTACAAAATTAGAACAGATGAACTTCATTTAAACGTTTTTCTTCCTCTATTTTTGAATCAATTTATGCCATCATCTTAAAGTTTAAGATAATTTCCATTTATGCAATTTTTCTCACTCACTCGCGAAAAGATGAATGCTAAATTCTTTTCAAGAAAGTTTGTGTTGTGCTTGTTTCTTTTGGGTTTGAAGTTGGAATTCTAGAAATGGAAATTGTGTCTTTAAGGTATTGATGAAAATAATTTTAACTTCATAAGCGGATATTTTTTAACTGATAATAAGGCTTTTAGCCTTTTTCCTCTTTCTTTTTATTATATGGAAGTGCAGGCGCGTAGCCAGGAGGGTCTTGTCCCTTCCTTAAGACCGTTCTCTCACTGCGGTTCAAAACGTTTAAGGGGGGACAAGACCCTCCTGGCTACGCGCCTGTGGAAATGTTTTTGAAAAGGATAGACTTCTTCTTCTCTAAAATAACAAATCATTTATGGATTGCTGGTTAAATTAGGAGTTGAATTAGAGCTAAGATCTATAATACTTACCGACTTACCTCCTTCTACAGCATGCAGGTGAGCTTATTGCAAGTGCTTAGAGATCATCTGAATTAAGCTCTATCCTTTAAAACCTTCTTCTAGCTCGGGACGCTATCGTTCTTTTTAACCTACCATAGTCACTGTCAAATTTCATTCCCAAAGTGTAGTTTATTTTTGATTCTTTGGTGGGAAACTGAGTATTACTATATTTTGAATTTAATCTTCACTTCAAATGACATGTAATTCTAAAAACAATAGAATTTACCAGAATAGCATCGTTTCAATTATCCGATTTGTGCTATTCGGGTTTAACACTTTAATTTCATCAATATGCGCTTCAATTACATTAAAACTCAAGAAAAACTTATCAGTGCTCTCCATTACATCACAATGCCTTTTATCCATTTGCATAAAATAGCTTGTCATGTCTTAAATTTTATTAAGTGCAAAAAATGTATAAATAAAATATTAAATATGAAAAGAATTGAAAATTAAATTTAATTTTGACTTACAACTATTTAGAAGAAAAACTTTTCCTTTCTGTATTCACATCCTCATTCCCCACCTCCTTGCTTTGAACATCATCTATAGCCGTACTATTGAAATGGATTTCTTTCATTCTTTTCCCTCAAATTGAGCATAAATTATGTTCATAAAAAATAATATAGTGAATGAGAATGGAATGAGATAAAACATGAAATTAAATTCTTGTGAAAGCTCTTTTCTAGTTAGCTATACTTGATAGCTTTTTAAGTTTAATTTCTTTCTATAAGTACATAGTTCTTTTTCCTGTTTTTGAAGTTTTTTTTCTTTCTTCTTATTCCTTTCTTGCTTTATTATTGTATTAAGAACTATTTGCTTGAATGAAGAAGAGCATGAAGGGAAAAAATATGAAAACAAAAGGAGTAAAAATTTATTATCTCTTTGCATTTATGTCGACAGAGCACGAGGCTATCCTACTCCGGTTGTGACTTGGAGAAGAGAAGATGGAAATGAGATAATTTTAAAAGATTCAATGGGTTCAAAAACTCCTGGTAAATGTCTATACAAATCTCTCGACTCTTATTATCTTCTTCCTAACATCTTTGTCTTGTTCTTGTTCTCTCATCCTTAGTTACATCGTTTAGGGGTGAAGTTTTAAAATTGACGAAAATTGGACGGAATGAGATGGGATCATATTTGTGTATTGCTAGCAATTCAGTACCTCCAAGTGTATCTAAGAGAATTTCTCTGAATATTCATTGTAAGTATGACTTTTTTTCTTCTTTACTGCTGGATTTATTTTTATTGCTATGAAAATTATAGCGCTGGGACGAAGTGAAAGAGGGCAAGCTTTTTCTTAATAGTGATCTTGGAGTAGATTAAATTACTGGTCCATATGTTTAGATACCAAAATTAAGGACTATTTTGTTCTAAATCTTTATTCCACAAATGCCTGATTCATAAGGATCAAACAACAAATAGCTTATCTGATTAAATCTGAGAATTTAAATTCATAAATAATTAATATTTATGATTCAATAATTAGAATCATTAATGAAATTTTCCAGAAATTAAAGACTTCATTGAATATTAACTACAAAAATTATTAAGGCAAAAACTATTCTAGCCTCCTTAATAGAAAGGAATATTTGTAAAGTAAATATTACTTGTGGATTTTGTGGTTTATTCTTTGTGGATTACATGGAATTTGTGAAATATTTTCACCCACAAATAGATACAATATAAAACTTTTGTTCAAATAATAATAATAATATAACTTCTATCCCGCTCCCCTTTCTTTTGTGTCACCATCCACATAACATTGTCACATCTTGCCTAACCTCTTTACATACGTATGTAAAAAAAAACATATTGTTACCGTGTTTTATGAGTATTTTATGTTGTTCCGAGGTAATCGCTTTCTTATTCAATTTCATTCTACTTCCTTGAAAGTACCTTTTTGAGCATTATATAAGACAGAAAGGAGAAAGGGGGAGACTGACAGAATAAGAGAGTTTATGATTCGTCTTATGTAGCATTATTAGGAATTTTGAAAATATATAAATTTCAAACTTGTTGCTACTGATAAGAAGGAATGAAAAAGTGTTCAAAAATAAATGAGGGTGAGAGAAAATGAAAGATTAAGGACTACTAATTTTTTAGAGGAATAATAAATTTACAAATTTCCTATATGACCCGAATATTTTTGATGCTACTTAATTTTCTCCTCAAAATGGAGCTAGATTTGCATTCGTTTTGTCACTAAAAGTAAATTTTGGAGCATAGAATTAGTTCTAGTAATTTTTAATGCCAACGGATTTTCAAAGTTTGAAAAATTCACCGAGCTGACAAAATTTAAAGTCAATTGACTAGTAAAATTTCAAATTAAAAATATCCGTTTAAGGGGCCATTCACTTATTACGTAACGCTTTTAGGGGGGGGGGGGGGGTCTAAGATTTTGTTACGGTTCAAACAAGGAAATTTTTTTTTCATACAAATTTTGTTACGAGGGGGGGGGGGTCTAAAAAGTCATTTTTTCGCGTTACGTAATAAGTGAACAGCCCCTAAAGTATTTAAGCAAATTTTGAAATTTAAAATGACTGAGATGACCGAATTCAATCATCTGGGAATTTTTAAAAATATTTTATCCGTTAAATTTCATTACAAACTGTTTTAAGTTTAATAAAATGTTTTAGGAACTGCGTTCAAACCAGCTTATAAACGATAATAATTCTAACTTTACACTTACTTCCTTACAAGAAATAGACTTTCATAAATTCTTTCATCTTCTTTTTTCTATTTTCATTCTTACACTAGTTCATCCTGTTATCCATGTGAGTATACATTTATTTTATTTTTATTTATTGAGCAAAGCAGTAAGGAAATTTATGCAAAAATATTATGTGATGAAATTTTTATGGACATAATAAATTATTCTCACATTTATTCAAATAACTTAAATAAATATTTATTACATAACTCCAAAAAAAGGTTCCAAATCAGCTAGTTGGAGCACCATTAGGAACTGATGTTCAGATCGAGTGTCATGTGGAAGCTAGTCCACGTTCAATAAACTATTGGATAAAAGATACAGGTATGTTTATGCTGCATGATTGACCATTGTGAATGAGAAATAATTGATAGACATTTGCTACAGGTGAAATGATTGTTTCATCGTCAAAGTACATTGTACAAGAACATTCAAAATCGTTATATGAGATGAAAATGACAGTTATTGTGAAGAAATTTGAGAAGGAAGATATTGGAAGCTATCGATGTATAGCGAAAAATTCATTAGGAGAGGTGGACAGTAGCATACGTTTATACGGTAAATTCATTGACTTCTTCTTTTTTTTATTACACATTTCGATGTAATAACAAAGATCATCAAATTACAGAGATACCTGGACCGACACGTAAAGTTCCTCCAACTAAGTATGGCAATAGTGACATGAATGAGGTAGCAAAGAATACTAAAACATCACAAATTACGGGAAAAGAGTCATCAAATTTATCACCTCCAAAACCTAATTATAACAGTCAGGATTATGATGACAATTATAGTTCAAATGAGGATGAAGATATTGATGATCGGAATGGTAATATTATTATATTTTTTATATCCACATAACCTTAATTAATTATCTCGATTTCGTTTAGATCCAACAAGAAATGTCCCAATACAAATTCACGCAACACGTAAACCAAATATCCACATAAATAAAATTTCAAATAACATTGACAGCTATGAGACTAATGGTATAATGGACTCGCGTGGCCACCATCATCATCGATGGCACCTTGCACTTCATACGATAACTTTATCATCATCAATTATTTTATCACACTATTCACGTTTAATCACATAATGACATTCATTATATGTGGAAATTTACGCAGATTCAGGAAACCAACTAAATTAATTTTAAATTATCATGCACAAGCAAATCGTTTTAAAATTGAGTTTCGGGGATTTAAATATATATAAAATTGATGGGTAGATGCAGATGATGATGATGAGGAAGAGGAGGTTGAGGTGAATAGTATAGATGTGAACTTGGCACAAAACAAAAAGTGAATGAAACCATAATTTAATTTAATTAAAATATGTTCATTGGTAAATTTTATCAGGCACAGATATAAAAAAAAACTTTTATTTTGGCATCACATAATGATTTAATTTCGTTCTCTCACCCAACAATCATCATTATGACCTTAAATGACTCATTTTCTTTTTATTTTCTTGTCTGACTCGACTCGTCTAGTTCTTTAAATTAGTTTAAAACTAGTATAAAATACGCCTTAAAGGAAGTGCAATGGAGTGGATTGAGCGCATTTTTTTTCTTGTTTTATTTGCATAGTTAAGTACCTAATTTATTAAATATGTTGGGAATCTTTAAATCTTTAAGTTTTAAGAGTGTTGTACTGTCTGCTTTTGATCTGATTCTATTTGACTAGAATGAAGAAGGGGAACTCGAATTTTTCAAGTAATTAATATTAAGCAAGATCAGGAGTGACTTTTGATTGGTATCTTTAGTTAAATTTTAAAACATTTATAAAATAAATCCAAATTGAACCTTTATGTCAGGAAAATGACAGAGGAAGGGATTTATAGTCAAATTTTGACTTTTTTCTTCTCAAAAATCTCTATCAAATTAAAGAAATTTGAGTTTGACTCGAAGGAAAATTCCTCTAGCTCCATACCTGATTACAAGTGAGATTCAAGTGACAGGTTCCCAAGATTCAAATTGAAACTTTAAGGAACTCTTTTTGGACCATGAACCTAAGTAGAGTAAGGTTTTTCGGTAAATGTAGATCTATTGGCACTTTAGTTCAAAATATGTAAGAAGCAAGGGGGCGGAACTGATGAAAAACATTTCGTTCATTTTTAATAATTTTTTTCATCATTTTTTGATCATTCCATCAGTTCCACACCCAAGCTTAATTAAACAAATTTATATGAGCCATGCCCAACCTATTGGACCACGCAACCAGCCTATGGACTAGTCGATTCCACGAAGTTGACATAAAGCAGAAATAAAATCAGTCAGATAATTTCCAATTAAAAGTGAAAGATGATGGACAGCTCGTAAGTCAGTCAAAGTGGCAATTCATAGGAAGAAAAAAAATCATAAAAATTTCTTCAGTTTTTTCCACCCTCTGCACAAAAGTGTTTCCTCATTCGCCTTTTTCCTTTCAATTCATCCTCGCAACTTGTTTTGTGTATACTGTAAATAATTATAATATATATTTTACTTCTTTTGAAAAGAAGCAAGCTGTTTGTTAAAATTATTTTCTTTTTTGTTCATTTTATACAAAAATATTGTACATTTCTCTTACGATTATAATCCTGCTCTTAATTTTCCGGATTCTTTAGTGTAATTTTTCTTTTAATTAAATTGCAATGATTATTAAACAATTATTATAATACCTACACAATTAATACACACACGTATATATACATGATATATATTATAAATAAAATACTTAGAATGTAAATGATGAAAAAAAATTATAATGTGCCGTTATTAGTCAAATAGTTAGATCAAAAATAATTTATAGCAAGGTATAAATATTTAGAATTAAATTATATATACACACTAATGGAAAAAGCTTTGAATATGAACTATCGGATAGCTTGAAACTTTAAAAAATTCTATTCTATTATTATTTCATGCTTCAGTCTATCAAATTTCAGAAATTTAAAATCTTTCATAATAAAATTTCAATACTTTTTATTTAATGTTTTTATGTTTAAACTTAATGATACTTAATACTATTAAGTTTAGAGATTATGGATATTATTATATTTTCATACGTGAGAGTTGTTTGAAGATTTGTTAATAAATTGAAATTCTAGAAATGATTGAAAAGTTCTCAATACTTCTAATATGGCATAGACTACATCTTGGCGGTAAGACCATCAATAAAGAAGTATACTCCTACAAATTAAGATAGTTTGAAGCCCTAATCAAATTGTTACTTTTATATTTTTCATAAATTTTATCCAATTTCAAATCTCTCCACAATTATTTCTAGGTCTATAATGTCACCTTAATGAAAATTTCAAATTAAATAGTTTCCTATTAAATAAAAGAATTTATGATAATATGAGATATTCAGGGAAATTTATCTGCAAAGGAGTAAAACAGAAATAAGAAGGAAACAAAAAATTAAATAAATTAAGCAAAAAAAAAATCATTTGATTTATAAAAATAAAAGATCCCCAATTTGAAGTATTTAACATTAAATATTATGTATGTTCTAGCTTTTTCTATCCAGAAGCTTACTTATGAGAAATCAATTGTTAAAAATATACTTATTATATGACATGCATACATATAGAACTCATGTATAATTCTTTTTTTTTTAAATAAAAGAAGAAAAAAATGAAAATATTTTTATTGTTTTTGTTTTTCCTCATTTCTCTCAGTTTAATGATAAATGAGGAAAAAAAGATGAAGACGTAGTTATCTGTGACAGGATTATAATGTAAAAAATAATAAAAATAATAATAATAAAAATAAAGCTATAGCAAACATTATATATATACAAAAAAAAAATTGAGAGCAACACACACAAAAAGTTATTTAAATAAAAAAAAATCAAGGGGGGTATCAACATGATGGGCATATGTGCTTGTGGTGTCTGAGCAAAATGAAATTTGGGGGGATCGACCCATATATAGGCGAATCTGCTAGTGCGAGAGCTAGGCCTCTGTGATGCGAGTGGTTAGCTAAAAGAACGGATATCTGTAACCCTCTTTTATGAAGATCTGGGTTCGATTTCCACCAGAGACCGATTCTTAATCATTTTGTATAGTATTGTCGGTATCCCATCAAAATCACTTGATGATGGAGGGGTTGGTCAACAGCAATACATTTTCTCAAAATTCCAATCAACAAAAAACTTTTCCCCATCAAGTTGATTCCCCCTTGTAAAAAACCTTCAACAATATGGCATTAAAACAATAAAGACGAAAGCGAAAGAACAAATTTTTAATCGGCATTGTATGCATGATCGTGAGTAAGAAAAATGAAATGGAAACTTACGACATGCGGGAAAAGTTTATTTGATGTCATAAAACACATGTCTTTGAGATTTAAGGAGAGTACTGACAAGGTTTCTATATAATATAACCATGGTTGGAACGTATTCAACTTTTTTTTCTCCTCTTTTTTATAACTCAGACACATTTTTGTGACTGTTGAGATAAACTTGTACTACTTAGAGATGGAAGCTGTTAAATATCACACAGTATAATACAAACAAATTTATGGGATTTCATAAAAATGAAAATAGTTCCCATGATGAAATTATTTTTATATGGCTTTCTACTTAGGCTCTTTCATCGTTATAGATAACGTGCAATATGACTTCTCCTTAGAGAATTTATATCATTCCATTCCATTCTTATCGTTCTCCTGCTCTTGCTCCTTTTTCATCACTTCAACCATTGAATGAAATGTGTTTAGCAGATTTTCATATTGCTGCATGTACTTTACTGTTTTGATATTATATTATGAGATATATCTGTCGAGATTTCTTATCATAGATACAGCTACAGATTACTATTCATTCCTTTATATCTTCATATACATTTGCATAGATGAATTGATATGATTTTTTGGCAGAGACTTTTATGAATGAATCCTTTTAGGTCTGACATTGTGTTTCTAATGGATCGTTCATTAAGATAAAAGGTAATGAGCACTTGTAGTATGGACATGAAAAGTTATGATTTTACTTGAATAAACTAAAGTTTTGAAGAACAATCAGGGATAGGTTTAACTTTAAATTACTATTTGGGTTAGTCTACCTTTAACTGTAGCTAGGGAACATAGGTTTATAAGAGCTGATCCACCATGAGAACTGCTTTAACAAGTTTTAACAAAACCTAACCAACGTTAGGGAAGTTATCACAATAGGATTCGAACGGATATTTCATTCTCTTGCTCTAACTTAGCTTCCACTCGAACTCATTCATCAATTCAAGTTGATTCTTTTCTTAAATTCATTCGCAAGATAGTTGAAGTCATGCAACTGTTACAGTTTCAGTTGTTAGTGTTTAGGTTCAAAGTATTGGCAACAATTTTTCAAAAGTAAAAAAGGAACAATATCAATAAAATATTGACTCACGGATGTTTAAATATTGACCAAAAAATTATTATTCATTCTTCCATCATCAAATAATTCAAACGTAAACTTTCCATTTCCATTAAGAGCCCTCGAAGTTCAGCTTTAAAAGAAATCCACTCTCAAATTTTAATGGCAATAATAATTTATCAGCAAGTACCCAAAAAATTCACATTCTCAACAGCTTTCAAATATTATTTAAGACTTTAAAGGCATACAGCATGTAAACAAAACCTAAGAAAATAAGAGTAAAAGGAGGGAAAACACAATTGACTTTTAAAACACGTGTGCGTAGAGTAGGGAAACAAAAAATTTTAAGGTGCTGTTCTTTTGGTGAAGGAAAAGTACGGAGTAGAAAAAAATTTGTTTATTTGGTCCCGATGAAGAAGATGATGATAACGGCAAAGAACATAAAAAGTAAATATCAACACCTGCTGCTACACTTAAAACGTTTTATGACAAGACAGCATAAACTTCTCTCTTTTTTTTCAAAAAATATAGGCAAACTTTTTTACTTTAAAATAATTTTTCAACGAATATGGATGCGGATAATGATATTAGTTGCTAGCGTTATGATTTAATTTTTTTAAAAGTAACGTAAAATTTTATGCAAAAACATTTTTTTCCTTTCTGCGCAGTGCTTTTACAGGTAAATTTTTAGCCAACGTCTTAGCCAATCAAAATATGAAAAAGCTTCTTCGTCTAATGCTTCAGACCTTAGTTAATGTTAAAGATTAATGTTCTTGTTTCACTTTCACATCTATTTCATGTTTTTGTTAATCTTATTTATGTGAGCATGTATAAAGCATTGCCAGTGTTGAAATATTCATCGTTCGAAGAAGATGTGCTGTTTATTGTTCTGGGATCCTCAGAGCTCATTTTACGTGATTTTTAATGTTTAAAAAATTGACTTTTCCGGTAACACTCAAAAAATTTTAATGAACGATCCACAAAAATTCCAAAAAAAATCTCAATTGGATGTTTGCAAAACCCACAGAAGAAAAAAAAATCAACAGATTTGTTTTGTTTTTAATAGACTTGTGTATCTCACATTACTTTAGAGGATACATGATTATCTTGTGCATATTTTTCTATCTCCTTTTTTGCTCAACAAAAACCCCAAATTCTCTTAAATGTGAGAATAATCTCTAAAGAATATACTCAATAATTAAACGAAGAAACAACTCGAGAACATAGACTAGAATCGTTTATGTATTTAAGAAGGCAGGAAAACAATTGCAAGTATTAAAGTTGTTTGGGTTTTGAGGAGCATTTTTCTAACGAATCTAATCTGAATTTTTTGAATTTCTCAATTTTTTTCCTCATTTCGAATTTTGATTTGCAAAATTATCACATTTAATCTATATTTTTAGCAACTATATCTCTTTAGGAATGTTCTTTAGAATGGCAAAGACCGTAATCAAAATAATTAGACTTTGAAGATCCTAGAAAAAGCGTTAAAAATGTAAAATTCAATTTTAAAGGTTAAAGTAATAATATTTTGGTAAAAATCTACAAATCAAGGAGAATCAACTTAAAACTCAAGCAGCCAATTAGAATCAACTCAAAATGAAATCAAATCTGCACTTATCTCCGAACAATCAGCTAAAAATAAACGAAAAAGATGTGAATGAGATGGTATGGTGATAAATTTCTGACTCCAATTTAATTATCGTTAAGAAAATTCCTCTGCATGGTACACAACCCTCGACTCCTCGTCAGCCGAGAGAAATCTTTTCTCTCTTCTCCAATGTCTGTGATGAATACATTCATTGTTCCCATTTTTATGTTGATTATGTTGCGATGAGAATAAAAAAGGAAACTGTTTTAACATTTATTTCTGTGTTTTTTTTCTTGTCTCGTGTCTTGCTATTTTCATATATTTAATATTCTCTATTTCTTCCTCTCTTTTCTTTGTGAATTTTTTTTATTATCGACGTTTGTTGATGAAATAATGACTTTAATGAGATAGAAAGAAAAAAATACTATAAAAAACTATTTTTTTGATGATAATGTTTTTGATTTTTTTTTGATTTTTTTTTTATTTTCTTTTTACAGAGAGCAAAAAAATCATCGACCATTAAATGAGGCAAATAC